GTGCATGTTGCGGACTGTCCGAGGTTATTTGAAGGAAAGAGGCCGGGCAGAAACACGGGTAGGCTAGGTCACATTGTGGATAGTTGTTAAGTTATCCAGATGCCCAAAGCAGAGGAAGCTAGAGGGGTTAGGCCAATGAGGGGCTGATACCTCGGAGAGATTTAGGGACATCACATCAGTAGAATCTCTTTGGCAACAACACCACACTGGAAGGCTGAAGAGGAATATCCTGCTCATTTCCCAGCGACAAGGTCCCCTTGTTTCTTCCCTTGAAATCACGAAATGCAGCACATGCGACCAAATGGTGTTTGTGGATGTTTGCCATTTCGGAATGACAAGCCACAGTTTTCCAATGGGGGAAGAGTCATCAACTTCAGCATGGCGCAGGTGTCCAGAGATCGAATGTTTGTTGGAGATCAAGGTGAAGAATGATATGATCAAGTCGGAGGTCATTTGCGAAGCGCAACGGACCAAGTAACGGACCAAGCGCACTGGACAAGGGGATACAAGGGGAGATATGTATCAAATCTATTGATGACTATATTTGATGACTCCTGCCAATTGAACAGATAGGAGTTGGTAATGTAGAATCTTGTTTAACTAGACAAACAAAGATATTTCAGAGCTATTACACTCCAAATCGTGGGGTCATTAATCAAGGTTCTACATTACACATGTCAACTCATCGGTCAAAATGTGAAAATCAGTGAAGATTCATGTGTGTGATTTTGTCCATCTCAGTCAGTTCCTTTGACATTGACCCCCCAGCAGACCAGGTGAGCACCAGGTCGCGGGTTGTGTATCCAAGAGCTTATATGTTTGGTATAGAGCTGCATGTGCATAAACACCAGTGCAGTTACCAATTGTCAAAACATTGGTGCAGTGGTTTTGCGTTGATCGCTCCACTGATGACCCACCAGTTTTGTCCTCCCATACGGGTCCCACAGCTGAGATTCCTTGGAACATCCTTTCAATGTTTTTGTTCACAGTAATTTCATCAAATGCTGATTTCCGTCAAGCTGAGTGGATTACTTGCTGAGGGTGCTATATAATTGATGAGAAATTCACGTTGTTTTTATGTTGAAACTAACAACCACCCCTTATGTAGGGGGTCTAGGTATGGCACCTCTGGCATTTGCGCATTTTGGCATTCCTTTGTTCATCAGAGTCCATCTGGCACCCGTCGCAGGCCTTGCCGTCGAATTCATTTCTGGTGGTGTTGCGGAACTCAGAGCTGCCAATCACGCCATGTGCAAGGAAAGCACTTTATGATACGTTATGCGATGTTTTTGAACACACATGCACATTGGAAGCTGAACAACTATATTAGTCCTATATTGTACGTACATAGCTCGTTTTGGATGGAACTTGTTTTTCAACGGTCCCGCCGCCCCGCCTCTAAAAGCAGAGCATGCCCTCCTGCCCAAAGCAGGAAATTGGGAGGGCACCTGAAAAAACACGTAGGCAGAGAGTGCCTGCCTTTCTTTCTTGACATTTTTGTCAGTGGTCCATGCTTCTATTTACATGGCTTTTGTGCCCAAACAGCACACGGCACCCAAAAGGGCATGAAAAACTCACAAAGTCAGCACCGGCGGGACTGAGTGGTGAGGTCGTATTCCATGTCTTCGGACCTCTCCCACTCTGATCTGCCCAAAGCGGAATGCCTCACAGAGGCGGTGTGGAAAACGAAGAGGGTAGGATGGAAGACAGAGTCAGATGGGCGGATCCAGCAGGGTAGGATGGAGCTTTGTCAGTAAATGAAAACATTCAACAAGATAGTTTTGATCTTGGACAGCCTTCAACTTGGTGCTTGAAGAATGATTGTGTGGATTCACGTCAGCTTCTCTTTGCCTTTGTCCTCCCATCATGCGCCAGTCGACCTTGGCCGTATGGCGTCCGCAGGCGGTGGCGAGCAGTGCTTTGGATCCGAGTGCCGGGTCGCTGAGGTTGGACGTTTTGGACAGAGGTCCAACGGTCCCGGTCACCAGTTACAAACAAAGGAGTCTATACTCAATATGTTGCAGACCACGGGCACTCAGAGTGGCTGAGAGTGTTTGTTTGTTTTCCGACTTTCCAACACCAGATCGTTTTGAGAGTTGGCTCTTGTTGAGATAACTCAAGTGCCAGTGCTCTTGTTCTGGTGTGATGACGTTGGAATATCCGATCAGACTGCTCGCCGTTGAGAGAAGCCTGCAGGGTGGGTTCATCAATATGAGACACGGATCCAGTTCGATTGGGGAGAGAAATCCAAAGCTCCTTTCGACTAGTCTAATCTTACGGCATGGTTTCCAGAACCCATCTTTGAGGCTTGGATGAGAAGTCACTCGATGCTCGACTGAGGCCCTGCAGTGGGAGGTTCGTTTGCCGAAGATCAAGCGCCAGCTGTGCCACGGCATAGATTGGACTTTGAGAAGATTCGATGATCGAGCATGGGGAAGAATGTGTTTGGGGAAGCTTAGGGGGCACGTTTACCCGCTTTTACATATTCGCAGAATCCTACTGTAACATTTGGGTTTTAGGACAAGCACATTTGCAAACTCAGCAGCAACAAGTCTTCGAGCACCAGCCAGCTACAAGGTCCTCTGTGGGACCAGCCATGTGAGCAAAGCAGAAGTGGTGCCCAGGGGATCCAAGCTAACCAGAGTTAGCAGGGCGAACCAGTTCCAAAGACTGGGCGAAGTCCTGGTTCCTTAAGGAATATCTATTCTGATATGATATAATGATATAATATAAGGACTAATATATCATATCAAGGACTAATAAGTTCCTCATAATATATCCCATCAATTTAAGTTATATATGGCCGATTCAGGGCGATGATTTGGATCATCCCCAGTCTTTATTTAGAACCTGCACGTGGAAAAACCACAGGTAGGTCAACCTACTGACACATTAACTGTAGATAGATCTACCTTCTAACTTGTTTTGTTAACCTGAAAGTCTTTAGATGATATTGAGTCTTCATGAGTCTTCAGTGTTTAACCCCATCTGTCAGATGTTGCTCTTTCGTTCAACCCCCCGAACTTGCCTGGCTGAATAGTCTCCAGCAAGGCCAATCATGATGGTGCCATTGTTGGCTGTCCCACCTGCAGATGCTGTCGTTGGTACTCTCTCTCTCGCTCGCTCTCTTTTTGCTGTGATTATAGACTATACGTACGTACACACAAATCACAACAAATTAATACTCCTATATGGTACTCCTTATATATATATCGTAATAGGATCAACGGGTCCAAGTTCACAGCTTCCATGCCGCCCCTCCGACATGTCGCCCGGCTGCAGGCTTTGTCATACGGCTGACATCATTTGCGCCGCTGGGCAATGACGAATTCCTTCGGAAAAGCCATTTGGAACTCCCTGATCACACGTCCGTTTGTGCAGGTGGAATCTGGTCGTTTGTAGTAGAACTGTGGATGGGTCCATATGGTTCCCATAGCAGGTAACTGGACTTGGGAAGGGGCTAACTGTCGGTCACTGTCGCCCTTGAGGTGAAGCCACGAAGCGACTCTAGGTGGTGAAGCTCTGACAGAAGAGAAAGAGGGGATGACTTTCTGAAAGAGAGGCACTTGAGGCTTTTTGCGGGACCTCGGGAAGCCAACAACAGAATCTCAAAAAGTTCAAGAGCCCAAGAGCCATGCGAAAGCAACGGTGAGGGTATGGATGGTTTGCAACTGTGATGTATGAGTGGCCCGCTTGGGTACTTATATCATCTTATATCATGGTACTTGACTAGTATATGGAACTTCCCATGGTACTTGTATAAGTATATGGATGGTTTGCAACTAAGGGAATTCTTCACCTCACTCATACTTCACTAGATAAACGTCGGCGGATCTTCGAGGCGTCGCGGCGGCGGGGCCGGGGTTTCCCACCATGGGACGCGGACGGTCGCCTCATGACGGTCCAACGGTGGGGGATCACGGTGGTCCAATGCGGGCATTGTCGGAGATGGTATGCAACTCAGAGGCGTCCTTGCACAACTCATACTCTCCAACATCGAACAACAACACATATAATCTACATTAATCTACGTATACAGTATATCATAACCCCTTGATGTATACTCCAGAAACTTGGAATCAACATGACTGGGGATGAACCATTGCCATGTTTAGTGGACGGATGTTCAACTAGTCAAGGAGACTCAATGCATGGATCGTTGTCATAAATAGACTGCAAGACATTCCAAAAGTCGTGCCACCGATGAAGATGTTTGGCTTCATCACACTCCAGTCGTTTCGTCCGTCGAGCTCCGCTGGGTCGGCTTCCACCGAGGTGCAAAACCTGCAGAGCATCGGCTTCCACGAGCGCTGCAGTGAGACGAATTTGCGCTGGTTCAGCCAGACCCCCAAGAAGTCGTGATGGCCAGCACCACCCCGTTTTTGCTGTTTGATAGAGTCCCCTTTGACATCCTTTGACCATGTGTTAGGTTTCTGTTTTTTGGATTAATAAGGTAACAATCATATTGTGCCAGGGTGGGACACATTGTGGCCCATCGCCTCAAAGGTGACCGGCTATGACTTCACGTTTTTCCCGGTGAGGTTTGTCAGATTTTATGTCAGCTGCCTCGCTGTTATTCTCCTCTCCTCCTGCTCTCCTCTCCTCATCCTCCTCAACCGCGAGTGTCGGATGGCAGTGTTCCCTGCTGGGCCTCAACAGCAAGTGTAGGACGGCAGTGTTCCCTGCCGGACCTCAACTGCCAGCTCAGGATGGTAGTGTTCCCCGCCGGACCTCAACTGCCAGCTCAGGATGGTAGTGTTCCCCGCCACACCTCAACCGCCAGCTCCGGACGGCAGTGTTCCCCGCCGAACCTCAACCGCCAGCTCCGGACGGCAGTGTGCCCCGCCGGACCTCAACCGCCAGCTCCGGACGGCAGTGTTCCCCGCCGGACCTCAACCGCGAGTCAGAAGATTTGCCAGATAGAGCGCCAGAATGTCAGAAGATATGCCAGATAGAATTGCAAACGCGATGCAAAAATGAATGCCAGAAAGAATGTCAGAAGATATGCCAGAAAGAGTGCCGAAATAGTGTTCCAGTACATGCCAAAATGTCATGGTAAGCCTGTAAATGTAAAGGAAAACTATGACTGTGAATCAGAACCAGCGGGTCCTGGGTTTGCTTCTTGAAGCCACATCCATATAGCACATACCCGCAATTTCAGCTTTCAGGTACAAGCGTTTCCCAGGTTGGCCATGCAGCTTGAGGAGGACGCCGGCGACGACGACTGGGCCTTGGCCGTGGCCTTGCAACGGAGTGAGCGTGAGGAAATCGAGCTCGAAGAAATCGAGAGGACCAGACAGGAAAGCTTGCAAGACACTTTACAGAGCGGTGACATGACTCGCAGTGAAACTGTGAATCCACAATTCCCAGGCGGCCCCATTGGCGCAGCATGCTGCTTTGGAATGACGGTCAGCTTTGTCCGTTCGCTGTTGGGACAAAGAGCCCCTCCGCCCTCTCCAGCCAATTTGGTGGGCCCGCCGTGTACTGCAGAAGGCTTGGAAGCGCGGTCCACAGAAGACATGAGCGATGATGTGAGCAGATCTCGAAGCACGTCTACTGCAGATGAAGTAGCACGTCTTGATCCATGTGCGATTTGCTTGGAGGAAGAACAGGGCGTCCGATGTGACGGAATTGGTGCTCATATCATTTGCCGTGGCTGTTTACCAAAGTTGGTCGAATCTCAACTTGATCTGGCCGAAGGTAGTGATCATTGCATGAGAGAGCGGCGGATGTGGAGCGCTGTTGGTCAGGAGCGGTGTCCCTGCCACCTGGACGGCTGTTCTGGGGCTTTGCCTCATGAGCAGTTGCTACTTCACTTGCCTTCTGAAACTCGAAGGCGCCTTGAGGTGGACTCCGAAGCAGCCCGAAGTTTTCTATGCACGGAGGAGCCGCAAGATGAAAGTGAAGACCTAGAGCGAGTACGACTTAGCTTTCTCATGGACATGCCAAATGCCAAGATGTGCGGCAGCTGCCAGCATGGACCCATTGACCACACTCACTGTAGTGACCTAGATGCACACCATGGTGAGATGAGAGGCAACAGTCAGATCCTAAACCAGTGCCCGATGTGCGGATGGCGCACAAGTGAGATCGATGACTGGCCTGCTTGGGATGGTGTTCTCAGATAATGGGTGCCACCAACAAAAGATTTGGATGGCAGACTTTGGCGTGTTTGGCAGGTCCTCAGGCGGTGGGCATGTGCAGTCAACCGCCCACCGCCCTAGGCCCTAGACCATCCCACCGCTCGAGACTCCAACTGATGTACCGAGAGTGATGTTTGTCCATCTCGAGTCGAGACAACCTTAGGGCGAGGCTCAAAAAGCTCGCTTCCCAGACAACTGTAGCAGTAGCATTGCTGAGCGACTAATGGACAGCCAGTGAACTTGTGTTGTTTTGTCTGTGTGTTGGGGTCCTGTAGCTCATGATTTATGGGATTTCATCTCCAGCGATCAAGTCCAATTCCAGAATCAACGAGGCATAAGCGTATAGCAGATTGATTAGCCTCTCCTCCAGGTTGAATTCCCAAACAAATGACAGAGGAGTATGGATGGAACACCTTGTGCAAAAGATATTCACCTGAAATTGGAACGTGGGAGGCAACCACCTTTTTTGGCCATTTGGTGCATGTGTTGTAATTGGCATCCCATTATATACATTTTATTGTGGAATTCCATGTCGGGATGGTTTTGCTTCCAGGTGCCATGATCTACTGGTGTAAGAGCACCCAGCTTTCATTACGTTTGCATACGTTTGCGATCTTTTGGGTCTTGTAATTGTAGAAGCGCGTTCTTATAGAAGTGTTAATGTTCCACGGCCCCCCAAAAGGGTGTCGATGAACAGCCTCAAAGAGATCCCTTGTGACAGCCTCCAGGTTGTGACGATGAACCATCTGTGTGTTCACCTCAGTGTGCGTCCCGCGAGCCGACCGACCGGATGGGATGACGGCCATGCGATACGGCGAGGCTGCTAACAATTTCAAAAGACGAGTGACTGTGGTAAATGTTCTGATTGTTTCTTGAACCTCCCCAGATTTGTGTCCCAGTCACCAACCCCATACGTCACCAAAAACTGACCCGAATCAGCACTCGACATGATGGGTGTGAGGAACCACTTGGTCTACCTCTACCGCGAGCTGGCGCGGAAGAATTACGGTGCGCCCCCAGTCGTTGCTCGCGAATGCTGACGTCGCCGATCCGGAAGGCTCGACTCGTCCTGAGAATCGGCCCGAATCAAGTGAGCACCGCAAGAAACCTCCCAAGATGAACTAAGTAAAGGCCTTGTCATATGGAACTTGGGCGTAAGCAAAAACCTGAAGAGCGTAAGGTTGCGTAAGGGAGTTGTGAGACATGCATGTTGCGTAAGCTTGCCATATGGTTGTGTTTTCATTAGTAGATTCTTAGCACACACTTGTCAAGAAAGGAACTGTATGGACCATGAGAGCTTTGAAACCCTTGGGAACTGACATTTGTGTGCACTGTGTTTCACGTGTGTGCACTGTGCTTGTTTGTGTTTGCCACTCTGTATCAAACCTTTCTTAAGTCAGCCCCATCATAACATGTCATAACATGCCAGGCTCCGTTTGGTGAGGTTTTGGTGGCGTAAGGTTTGCGTAAGCTCCGCGTAAGGTTCGCGTAAGCCAACTTTTCATTTGCCTACAGCAGACAGTAAGTAGATGCTAGTGATCCTTTGCTTCCTCTGCTTCGGAGTCTTAGTCATCATGTGTTTGTCGCCCGCTCACCTGCAAACAGGAGCCTTCGCGTAAGCATTTCCCTTGGGAGTATGCTTCTCATCTGTGAACATGCAGATGCGTAAGATCTGCGTAAGGTCTTCTTCAACATCCGTGGCGCGTAAGCTCACATTGTGGTCGCGTAAGAAAGGCGTAAGCAGGAGCGTAAGAACGTTATGTGACATAGGGGTTTAATCATATAGCAGAGCTCAAGTGAACTCACGTTGCCATGTCGTTGGAGATGGCCACCATTTTGGCAGGGTGCACCCTTCTTAGTCTACTGCCGCCAGATGAAGACCACAAAAAAACGAGGCATAAATTGCATAAAGGTAAGATGACAAACCTGAAACGTGACCGGCTTTGAGGGTTTTGGGCTCAAACCAAAACCTGTCTTGTTAAACTGAACCGTGACTCGAAACCTCTCCGATGCACGGAATGATTTTTCGGCTGTGGCTGCTCATTGTCGTGGCATCCGCTGCTCGTCCATGGACTTGGTGGCAGCTGGTTGATCGCTCCGAGCAATGTGAGGCAAAGGATCAGGGGAACCGACTTGTTCAGACCTCTATCACCCGGTGGAAAGCCTCCGAGAAGCTCTTGGACAAGCACATCTACTTGGTGGGCACCAACCACAAAGCGGGGAGCAACTTGCTTCGCAACACGATGCACTGGGCGTTTGATCTTTTAGGGGCAACAGACTCATGTCAGTATGGACTCGCTGCCGATCCGATTACTTCAAAGCCTGGTTACAAGCAAGAATGCGCCAGTCACCCGACCCAGATCCGCTTCCACAACCACATCTCTGCCCTTCCTCTCCTCAGTCTTCAAAAGGAAGCAGTCTTCAAAGGAGGTTTGCGTGGTGTGATGATTGTTCGTGATCCTTTTGAAATGGTGGCCTCAGCCTACTGCTATCACCACCGTGGTGCTGAGCCTGGAAGTTCTGCAGCCCCCGCGAATATCACGGAGATTGAACCTGAAGAGGGAGTGCCTATCATGGCTGCGAGCATGTTGGAAGTGGTTCGCTGGATGACCAGCGCCTATGTCGTTGCAAAGCCAGATGTGCTGGTGGTGCGGTTCGAGAAGTTTACGAAGAGCTCCAAAGACTTTGATAATACGGTCAGAGAAATCTTGAACTTTGTGTTCAGGAATGAGATTACTGAGAAGCAAAAACAGCAGATTTTAAATGCAACTGCTGTGGAAGACGTGAACAGAGGTTTAGAGGGTTTCTCTGAATTGCCAGGGGCCAACCTGGGATACAACCACACAAATGACGAGGAGGACATGGCTGTGGCAAGAAAAGCCCTGCACTTGATACCAGACGACATGTTGGCGGAGTACCAGCAGCATCGGAAAGTCCTTGGCTACGGCGCGTAGCAGTTCACCCACCGTAGAGGTGGAGAGGTCAAAGGGCTTGCCATCCGTCGATCTATCCGGGTTTGCAGGGGCGCGTGGAACACATCACGTCGGACGTGGTACAAAAGGCGCGCCTTCCCCTCAAAGATGAGGACGTTTACACAGGAGAGATTGAGAGCTCTTAGATGTAGGACGTGAAAAGATGTGACAGGTAAATTGTCCATATTATTCTCCCAAGTCTTACAATTGCAGATCAGCATGGAGCCGGAAAACCACTGGTTTGTGGGGCCATGTTCGCTTGAGGAACGTAGCGTTCTAATACTGGCATCGTTATACCACAAGAGACTTGGGGACCCCTCTTCCGTCTTAACGGCGGGGGTCGTCGGAGTGGTTTCGGACCACTCTCCTGGCCACCAGGAGTGGGGTGAGTGAACCGATGTGAACCGTATTGCTTGGACCGTTAAGAGGGCTTCTTTCAGACGGTCCAAGGGAGGAGAAATTCTTCGCTTCACTTTCAAAAGATGGGGGAGTTGCATGTGGGAGTCTCTCTGCCTCCTTTGGGAGATGAGCAGAGACAAGATACACAAAGTTGCATATGATCCGAGATGTTCGTCATGCAGCAGATTTTGCCTACCTTCGAAGATCCATCTTGGTAACCCCAAGAAAAGCTTATTGCAATCCTTCAAATCACACAAGTTCATAGAAGATCACTGAAGTTGACTTTCCTGTTTAGCAATCCTATCGACCTCCTAGCTGTTGTTTTTTCTGATTCCAGTTCTTTGTGAGGTGTTGTTCGTGGCTCTTTGTCAGGCTTTGTTCATGGCTCTGGATCGCCGAACACCCACAGCTTGATCTCGAAACGGGTTCAGCTCCAGGTGTGGCCTTTGCCCCCTCGCTTCGCTTGCCTGGCGCTGGGGTCATTTGCTTCGGCCATGCAGCCCCCTGGGCAGCGATTGGCGGCGTTGGGCGGCGCGGCGGTGTGTGGGGAAGTTGCGCGTGTGGGCCTGGATGTGGGGAGCAATGGCAAAATAGAGCATAGACCTGAGGATTGTGTTCTTGGGTGTTTGGCCGCTGGTAGAAGTCCAGCAAGTTTCTCGAAGTTGAACATGGTGTGCCCAGTAATACTATATATATGGTCCAAGGCAATAGGCCATGAGGCAGCAGTACTTAAGGTGCAATGCCTCACACTTGGGGTTTAGCCAATGTCTCTCATTCACATCATTGGCTCAGATGGCTGACATGGATTGGCTTGGATGTTTTTTTGAAAAAAGAGCTTGGTTGTGTCTCTTCAGATAAATCACTTCACTTGTCACACACACACACACATAAAGGTGCGGGAAATAGACAGCTGCCATCATTCGATACACATCCATACATATCCATACCATACTGCAATATTATACATACATACTGTATATATATATTATATTGCAGGATATATAGAGAAAGTCGGCACCGAAGTGTACAGTCACAAGAAGCATTGTAATTAAGGGATGTGTGCTCTGCTGGAGCCGGAGCTACAATATGAGGTTTACTAGGGGTGTAACTCGTTGAATGCAGTGAATCTACCCAAAGATTTTGTTTGCTGTGTGGGTCAAACACCACATAGCCCAGAACCATAGGAGGTTGGTGAGATTCTTGTTTGTTTTGTGTTGTGCAACCCTGAAAATCACCTGGTTGCCATCACCCAGTGTTCCTGGTTTACCAAGGCGAGGGGGGAGATCCGCACATGGCCTTGGTCATTGATTCTGGCATCTACAAATGTACCGCAATCTTCCACCTCAATACGGCTCGATTTGGATGATACAAAATTTACGCTCTCTGGATTAGTACAGTAATTAGTCATGGAAGAGGAAAGTGTAGAGGAAGATGGGCAGGGCCATTTTCCGCTTACAAGATTTTGTTTCCGGGGAGTGTAAACCATTCGAAATCCCTTTGTGTAAACATGCATCAAGAGAAAGGGTTTGCCTTGGGACCTTTAGGCTTCCTATATGTTGATTTATTGTATTAACATATACTGTATAGGTGTTTCTCGGAATTGGTTGTCTTTTTGATGTTTTGTGGAGTTTTGGTGATCATGATCCCGTTTGTTTTGCTTTTGACCGGTCATCTATAGGATTGGTTCTGACATGTTCTGACCTTCTTTCACGTGCGAAACATTTCCCCAGGTCTTCTGGAAGAGGAACCGTTGGCAGGTGCAGACCTGGGGAGCATCGGAACAAAGAAGTGTTTGTGTTTTTTTGGATTGAGGATTGCAAGGGACCCTAATCGAATTTTGACAGAGAAACCAGTGAAGCCCTTGGGTTGAGTGAAGTTATGTAGTGTTGTTTTGGTGTTGTTATGTGCCGTAAAGTAGGTGTCCTCGCTGACTACAGTGACTACAGCATGAATCACATGTTTTTCAACAACCGGCTTGGGCATCCCATCAAGCTTCAATGACAGCCTTAGGACACCTTGAGAGGAAACAGTGCGTTCACGAATCAGAAGTGGTGAAAGTCCACCAAGTCCACCTCCGGCTCCTCACAAAATCCGCCGAAAGCCTGAGGTGAAAGAAGGTCCAAAAACACCGGACCGATCAACCGTCCGACTCGATCCGCCGCAGTTGGAGCGCCAGTGGGCTGTGGGGAACACCGCCATTTGTGTGGAGTGCGGAGCCTAGGGTTTTGGCGGCGGTTTTCTGTTTTTTTTGTTTTGGTGTTTGAAAAAACACCGTTCGCAGCCGAGGGTAATGAATTCAGTAGTAGCTATGCTATACCTACTATATAGAATCTATATACTTTGACAATGGAAGGCTGACAGGGGTTTGCTTTCAGGATTGTTCAGGTGAAAAGCTACTTATATTTAAAACACACTGGTTGAGGGTACCCTCAGTTCTTTTTACACCCAAGTCATCCTTGATCTTGCAACTCCTGAGATTACATTGGGTTTGGCTGCCATAAGGTACCATTGCCAATTTGCAACTATGACTATGACTATATAAGCTGGAACGTGATGACATTTTTTTTATATACATAATTAAAGTTATTGAGAAGTGTAGCAAAGTGTGAAGCTCGCCATAGAGCCTTTGTGCCGCCAATGTCGCAGTCTTTGATAGCCGTAGGGGATAGGCAGATCAACGTTTCAGCCCCGAACTCAAATGCCGGCCCAAAGTTATCGCAATCATATGATGTTGTTTATCTCATATGGTGTCTAACTATGTTTCTGCCTGTGCTTAGCCATAGCTGCCATAGCTTCAGAGTTTAGAGTATATGTTTTTTATTGTTTTCTGCACCTTTAAGCACCTTCAGTTTTAGAGCAGACACGGCCTCGATGGCTACGGCCATGTTGCCGTCCATTGTTTTGGCCATCACTGCCAGTGCTCGGATCACGGATCACTCGCCTTCCCTCCTTCGAAAGCTTTTGTCGTCCCAGGCTTTCTTCGAAACTCGAAAGCCCAAACCTTTTGGTTTGCTGCAGCCGGGGTGAAGCCGTCTATGCCGAAGAGTGGGGCAGGGGAGCCTCGGGACCGGACGGGCTTTTGTGCGGCGGTTGCGGTCAAAGGAGCAAGCAAAGGACCCACAGATACCGAGATCGAGGTTCCTTGTTGTAATTCTTTGTGAATTGCAGCTAAGCTAAAGGTCAAAAGGCTGCATCTTGGCAACATCAGTTGGAGTCATATCATATGAGCTTATATGAGTCATGATTTTGGATCGCTTCACATGGATTGAACCAGTGGGTTTTCTGGACATGCTTCAGCAATGCTTCAGATGTACCCACAAAACACCACCACCGAGCGGCTCGACAGCCTGCCTCGGAGCCTCTAGGTCACAAGCAGCCGTTGGAGGCCTTTATGGCGGAGCTGGGAGCTTGGCTTCTCAAGAGCAACAGGCGACGCAGAAAACTGGTGAATCACAGCTCCAAATCATGGTGAGTCAAGAGCTGTTGATTTAATTGGGGCAAAAGTTTAGGTTGGTCATGTCCTCAAGGCGCTAGAGCTGCGGCAGTTGAGCACCCAAAAAGCTTTCGCCACACCCGGCGGCGGTTGGTCCATCTTCGTGGCGGGTCGTTTCTCGGATGTCCATGGGAGCCGGGAGAAGCTCACTGAGGAGGTGACGACCAACGCACCAATCGTGCGGAGGTCATGAGGTACAGTCAGGGATCATCCGATTATGTTTGACACGATCCCTGACATATGTGTCAGGATGATCCCTGACGGTACATCGGATGAATCGACGTCAGACCATTTGGTTGAGGCATCGTATTTGGATGTTCCCTCTGTGATTGGCAACTGGATTGGTAGGACATCTCAGACTGAGTTACTTGAAACACCTCAGATCCCAGTGGCCTGACTCAGTGAGCTTCAGGTTGAAGCCTGTGGAGACTGAGCTGCTGGAGCACAGCGGTCCAAAACTCAGGCGCGGCAGATCATGGAGGGGGTTGGACAATGGGGGATATCTTGGGAGATGTAGGGATATCGGATATGAATTGGGTTGGTAGGGATATGTAGGGTGTTGTTTGGGGTGGCACATCCCAGTAAGCCGCTCAGGACGGGTGTTTTGGGCGGACGCGGCGGACGGACGGGTCGACGGCCAGGCCACTGTGGTGCGGCGATTTCGGGCCCTACGCTGAGGCGAACACCCTGGCAACACATGAGGGAGTTGAGGTGAACGCGTGTCACACGCTATCGACTGGTTTGCCGGCAGAACAGTTTTCAAGAGTTGTCATGTCTTCATGTGATAAAAATATCGTACATTCAGATACAGTGGTGTCAGAGTAGATGGCACAAACCCAAAGATGTCTTTTATATAGGGGTCCATCCAAACCACCTTTTGGGGATTGCGCCATCTATACACTCTGAAACCACTGCATATTATAAATCCAGATGATTTTGGATCATGTTCGATCAGGAAGGTCCAACGGACTCCTTGTTTGGCCATTGGGCCTTCTCCAGCTGCCGCACCAGGCGGTGGTGCGGCATCTGGGCCACGACGTGAAGGCACGTTCGTGTGTTTGCCGCTGAAGTAAGCGGCGGCTTTTTTTTTCGGGTTTCAGAGTACGCGGCACAATCCCCAACAGGTGGTTTACTTGGACCCCTATAAAAAAGAGAGCATATCTCGAAGTCTCTTCGTGGTTCAATAGGGTGGCTCCTGCAAAAGACCTGCCCCAGGTGAGCTCGACAATTCCACCAAGTCATGTTGTTTGCACACGGAATGATACAAGTCGGTGGAGATTATATACAAAGTCTTGAAGGATCGAGATATATCAAGATCCATGGAGCCTTATCGCATCCATCCCTGACTTGTTTCTGGGATGGGATCTTCCCGCCACAAAAGCACCACCCAGCATCCCAGTAAAAGAGTGCAGATCAATCTGTTTTTATGGAACCTTGGTCTTATCATGTCCTATCTTCCAACAAAATGCATCTTATTTCAGAGGCAAACGGAAGGGTAGTGCACAGAAAGGGTTTTGCAAAAACCTGTTCTACTAACATCGTGGAAGGCGCGGGACATTCGTAGAACCCAAGGCTATTCGTGGACAGTTCGTGGAATGGTGGGCCAGTAGGAGAACTGACTGCAACGAAATCCCAGAAACCTTCGCAGAACTTCGTGGAAGGTATTTTGATGCACTAACTTCGTCTAAGCGATTTTTGCTGACCCCCTTTCTCCACACACCCTCCATTTAGCCTTCATTATTGAACGAGAACATACGAGTCTCGTGCCATGCTGCTCCTCCCCAACGGACCCGTCCCTCTGCTCCTCCAACCTCGTCGCATCCTTCGCTTCCGGGCGAGCGATGCGAGCGCGACGCCAAGGAATCCATTGCATTCAGCGCCGTGCAGTCTGTCTTAGAGGACCAGCAGGAGCACCGATGCAATGTTGATCATGAAATAGTCATTCATTCTCCGAAATTCACTAGCATCAGTTGCTGGTCATAAGATGAGTCATCGTTTCAAGACTTTGAAGGTTTGCAGGGTACATGATATGTTTTATATACTGTACCTTCTATACATTTAGATTTATCTTTGAAAAAAAGGTGCAAATGCATATATATATATATATAGTATCCGCCTTTTATTTGATTCCTCCCTTAATAGAACACCGACAGTTTCTCGGAGGAGCCTTCCCGCAAGACCTGTGAATGGCCAGCTTCCAAGAAGAGCGACCTGTGACGTGCGGCGGTGCACGTGGTACTCTTTGCATGTTCTACCAGTGGTTGGTTCTGTGTGTTGCTGATTCTCTAGACTCTAGGCTAATGCAAAGGCTTTTTTCTGAGATGCACCCTGCACTCCTCACCTCTTGTGCTCGAACACTTTGACCAATATGCTCGCCCCGCTATTATGCCTGTACTTGGAGACATACTCAGATGATAAGTTGCGCATAAGCCCCAGAGAACGGCACTTCACTATTCTCTCCAACTTGACAACGTGTCAATGAAGCCTGTAAAGGTATGTTCACAGCAGTTGGCCGTGGTCAAACAGAGCCCAAACAGTCAACCTTTCACCTCGAGTTACAATCGATCCTGCAACATTGTAGGGGTGCATTTGCATCCCTTGGCAGAGAGGTTCAGAGTGCCCAAAAATGAACTACCATGGTACAGTACACCCCTGCATAGACTATGTTGGGGTCAACCGACTTAGAAATTAAACTTGAGCCAAGAATTTTGACGTGGGTCTATTGCCCAGTGGATCCACACATTCAGCGATCCTGGGCATACGGCTGGGGCTGGCATTTTAGAGTAATTACATCGAGATCTCACTGCAACGTTGCTGTGCCAAGAAGATGTCCCCGAAGCTCCTGCCGGACAGGAAAAGCCCATGCCATGCTTCTTCTCAAGCCCTTCTGAAGTTCTACAACCCTGGGAACTTGTCGAACTTCAACAAAACCCCTGGAACTGAGCTTCTTCTCCATCCATGTGATCACCTTCTGGTCGTTCCAAGTGACGTGCCTTCTTCATTTTCCTCGAAGGTTCAGCTCCTCCAAGTGCCTCTTGGGCCTGGAGCCTTGGACCTCCGCCTCAAGGTGCGCCTTCCAGCCGCGGTTCTGAGCGGGGATTTGGGTCGCAGGGTCTGAAGAAAAACAAGAAAGAGGAGCCTTGAACGGATTGATGTACATTTAAAGACCAATAAAATGGCAGCCAGCGCCATCCAGAAAGATCTCAACAAATAGTAACCACAAAAGACACCATGAGCCTTGAAGCAAGGCAGGAAGAGTTGCACAGCAAGAACTTGGTCGGAAGTCGATGCATTTTGGATGTTACCTGGCTTCTTCATTTATGGAAAGCAACACCTCAAAAATGAAGTGCAGGGCAGCCTGTACTTCACCTGAGGGCGGGTCCAATATGTTCTTTTGGGTCTTGATCTCAGGGACTTGGTTTCTTTCCAGTACTGAGTCTTTAGATTGACACGCGACAATTCAATTGGACAGTTGGTGGGCACTGGGTCATCCACACATCAAGACTGGCCAGCGCTCCGGAGCTTGGGTTCCAGGATGATCCAGACGTTTCCTCTGTTTATTCCCCCGAAGTACTCCTCCACACCCAGTTCTTCAGCCTAGAGGTATAAAAGGAGGTCATTCCATGCGGTTGGCAAGCTTTGACAATCCCTTGGCCCTATTGCGAACTGCTCACCTGGGGGAGGGTGAAGATGTTAATTGAGTGTTGGATCCATTGTTTTCAGCTTTTCACTAGTGGTAAGCGGCCGCAACTGGAACTTGTTGATTAAAACATTGATTGGCTTTTCAGCTTTCAACTTCCAACCCACTGACTTCCTTCATCTTCCTTCCCTATTCGACCTATGGTTGAATATGATTGGATGCTTAGATTCCTACACGCTGCTGGCTGGTCAACGCCATGCTCCACATGGGGTCTACTTGCGCTTGGGCCTTATGCATTTGCTCCGACATGGTGAACAGCAACTACAAGGGGTAGCACTTACGGTAAAACTATAGTACATGCAAATGCGGTCCATGCATTTTCATGCACCCTAAAGGGGTACGTGCCAGAGTCGGGGGTCTCATACCTCATTATATATTTAGTACCTTGCTTTGCAGTGAGGGAAGTGTAGCAATGGCCATGGAGCAAACGGCGCTATTGTGGGCTTTGCTTGATACTAGGGAGTTTGGCGAAGTGAAAAGGCTTCGTCCGGAACGGATTGATTTGGTGGCTTTGCATCCAAGCCTTGGGGTCACTATGATTGTGCATTCAATAACCCAGGGCCTCCGAAAGGGAGACGAGGAGGCGATTGACACCATTCAATGGCTCCTCAGTTTGGGCGCAAGTTTCTTGCAAAAGTGCAACAATAGCCGCTGCAGACATTCGATGTGGAAGGCCGACAACAAAGATGCTACAATAGTGACGGTCACCTATGCTTGCCACTCAGCAGTTTCATATGTCGCTGCCTGGAAAAGTTTGCTTAGCCAGCGGAAGGAAGATTGGTCCAGAGTGCAAGCTTATCTAACCAAGGTTTTGAGATGCTTCACAGCCCAAAGTGAGGCATTGCCTCAGGCAAGGATTTCCATCCGCCAAGGCATTGTAGATTTATGGGAGCGATGTTTGATGGACACATCCTCGCAGGACTTGACCTTCAATACAGCTGATGGAGAAGTAACCGCTCACAGTCACGTGCTCGCTCAAGCATCACCAGTGGTGGCTGCAATGTTGTCAAGCCCGATGAAAGAAGGACAAAAGTGTCTCATTGAGGTCAAAGACGCTTCAAGTAATAGCGTGTCGCTCTTTCTGGAGCTACTCGGACAAAGCACTAAATCTTCACATTCTGATTTTGCTGTTGCCTCGTGTTCATATAGTAGTTTAAGGTGTTTGAAGTATTTGTAGATCGACTGAAGCGTTCTTCACTCAGGCTTTTGTACACATGCTCAACCAAGTTGGACCCTGACTACCAGATGGTTTTGCAAGCGTTGGACGTTGCTCATCGTTGGCAAGTGGAAGTTGTGGTCACAATCCTCGCAGACTTGCTCCAAGGGATGATCACCGATGAGAGCTTTGTGGCGATCGCAGAACATTCTGTCCTGAAGGTGCGCATGTTGGTGTGAACATGTCGACTAGGTTGGCAGACAAACCATGAAGCTGGGAACCAAGCCGTCCAGGAAGAGCAAGGCCTCAATGTTCAGGTATAGTAGAATACAGAGTTGTCAGGTACACATGTACAGTATAGTGTTTTTATGTGTTTTGTTTATTTTTAACACGTCAATCTTGAAATTGTGGAACAATAGTGAGCTTTGATCTCTTGCATGCTGTAGGTCGTTTGGCCTGGTTTGCCTTTTCTTCGAATTGAGAACTTGGTACAATTGGATAATGAACGCCGTCTTTTGGACTCCACCAATGGCTCTCGTCACTGGCTTTCCTTGTGTCAGCCAGTCTGTTTGGGTTTAGTTGGGTGGAATTGACCAGCTTGTGTTGCATTGCAGGGCTTGGAGAATCTGAAGACGGCTGCAAGACGATTTGGAGCAGAATCTGCTGCTGTGCAGGCTGCTTGGCAATGATGATTTTGCCGTTTCCAGGGTCCCTCCCAAAGGCCCAGAAAGGAGATTCAAGATCCTCAGAAACTGCAGTGGGCGAGGAACTTTCTGTGTCTACTGTAAGTTGAAGAATCTTGAAGATGACACCGTGAAACGTTGTAAAACTGTAGAATGTAGAAACTTCACTTCTCTGACAGTCGGAGACATGAACTGCTTCAGCTCTGACATGCACTGGTCAAACCTTCTTTGAACTTGAATTGCAGCTGAATGTTCCCCCCAAGGCTGAATGCCTGTTGTACGTGTTTGTTGTACATTGTTCTATGCCTGTCCTTTTGAGTGCAGGCTGCTGCTTGGGGAACCCATTTTGCTAGTGGTCCTGGCTGGGGGATCTCTTTACTTCAAGACACTCTTCCCCACGACAGCCTTTCTTCAGTTGAGGCTCAGCTGAGGGAGGGCCGCTTGACAAAGACTGTGCTGCAGCTTTTCCCAGATGCCCCCTCGCCTGAAGCGTCGATGCCGGTGAAGCGTCGACGGCTCTGAGCGGTCTCACGGGACAAAAAGACCTGCAGCACCTGAGACAAAAACACAGCAGCTGGTCTTCAGTGGGGATGTTGTCAAGAAGTTAGATTTCTGCAGCTGCTGGGAATATATCTATATATATGGGGAAGGGTAACCGTTTCAAGTCTGAGCACTGAAGACTTCCAGTATTTTGAGATGCTGTATTCTATGATCTTTTGTATTTGGGGTTCACTTCACTGCGATCAGTTCCGCTGTCAAACTCAGTCCAAAAGGAACACATCTCATCGAAGCATCTACCTCAAAAAAGATACTGTAAGAGATGTATAATGTATAAAGATCTATTTCATTTGATAATTGCCAGAGATCCTTCGATGAATGGAGAGCAGAGGGGGACAGCTGGTCCAGGACTTGCCAAAAGGATCCAAAAGGCGAAAGAGCGAATCCTCTCAGCTTCACGGCTTGTGAAAGCGGTGACCGGCCGTGAGACCGTTGGACCGTCAGGTTCACGGCGGGGAAAGCCACCGATCTGATTCTCCACGACGGCACACTCCAGCCGCAGGGCAGCCCAGCGGCTGTTACCGAGCGGCTGTGACCGCAGTCAGCAGCTGAACCAGTCAGATGGTGTGAATCCCACAACTGGCAGCCCTGACTGGTTCAGATTGAAATCCATGGACCCTTAGGGGTGTCTTCAATACCTTGAACCACCCTCCACAACATGGAGTGCAGCTTCGGAAATGATAGGAACTGGCTGTGGCGCCCGAGATCAGATCACGTGAGGGTTGTAATGTCTAGCTTCAGTTTGGTTGCATGGAGGTTTACCTGAAAGTCCTCACTTAAGCATCTAGTAGACTAGTAGATGTTGATGCTGTTCCTTCTTTTCCGGAGCCATGGGCCCATGGAGGTCACAGGGCCAATCCCTACACCACAAGAGGAGTCCGTTGTCACTCTCAATGGACAGCCGTCGATTTGCTCGCGCAGCCTAGTACACCGCCGAAGGGCCTTGTCCATCCCGAAAACTCGTAATGCACTGGATACCTTCCCAGACCAGTCGCAGTATGGCACTAACAGTGTGTATGGGTTTGTTTGCCAATGAGAAGGACCAATTCTATTCACACGTCCCATTGTCGAAGGAATTGGAGGGCTCACAGGCTGCCTTTCCCTGTCGATTCTCCCTGCGGCTCTGCTCCGCTCCGCCCCAGGCTGGCGGTGTTGGGCGGCCTGCGCAATGAGCCCCTTGGACAATTGGTGTGAACAAACCTGTCTATTCCCTCCAGCCTCGAGGACCTCCAATCAGGGAGCAATGAGTGTCCTTGTCCTTATCCTAACAAAATTAACTAAATCAATGACGTGCTACCTTTTGGCCCCGATCTTTGCTGAGGGCCAGCACGCTGGATCTGCTGCAGAGTGCCTCGGTTTGTTGATTTGTTTTTTGATAGTTGGACCGGTTTCATTTCGCGATACTGGAGCCATGTGAAAGACGCGGCCATGTTTTTGATTGAGGATAGTGAGTGCGGAGCCGTTGTTTGACCAATGTTTGAGTGCTTGCTCGATTTGGCATCAGGTTGCTGGATTAGTTCAGGGCATCAAAAGTTTGAGCGCATCATGAGGAGAACTTGTTTGACACAGCTTTGATGACCACACATCAGATAAATGTTGTGACGAAATGGATTTTGGCGTGCAAACATCCCAGCGGTGACCGTCCACTTTTTTGATGGGACAAGGTTGAACATGGCAATCTGCTACTTAGGATCTCATCACTGGGAGGATTCACCATGTTGTTGTTCTTCGGAGTGTGGATTTGTAGAACTTCTTGATGAGTCAGTCACCATAGAGGTAAAATATGATGAAATACAATTCAATATGAATCAATTCTGCAGAGACTTGAGCATGCAACGCACCTCAGTTGCCCCGTGAACCAGAGTTTTATCATGGCTTTGGGTCAAACTAGCGTTCCAAAAAGCGTTAACCACATTTGGCGGACATGCCGTATGTGACATACCCTGTGGGCCCCATGAATCCGACATGATCAGCATGGGGTTTTAATCAACGACCATCATCCGCGGAACGCCCGGCGGATGGAACATCCAGGCGGCTACCCTTCGGATCACCTCCTTCAGATGGCCTTTGGGACTCAAAGCGCCGGACAAGACCGGCGGCTTCCGCGGGCGAGTGCAGTTCGATCCCAATGCTTTGACAAAAAGGAGTTCTTCGACACCTGAGTGGGAGGCTCCTGCAAACACTTTGTTGGTTGTTATATGTTGTTATTGGGTTTACTAAGTTGAGATGGAACCCCAAGAACAAGATACACCACATTGAGGAGGGGAACACAGGAGGGGACCACTTTCCTGAAGCCTTCTACCAGGCGCCGGGATTCCAGAGGTACCAGGTTGGGCCTTTGTTGAGGGCCCTCAGTGAAGCTGAAGAGATCCAACCTGCTACTAAAACCCTTCCAGGGGCACTGACATAGCCCTCTACAAGGCCATAAAGTATGACATCGCCCTTCGAGGAGGAGATTTAGTCTTTCAAGGGGACTTGAGAGAACTTCCAGCCTGGTCGCACTGTCAGGAGGACTTCCAAGTTCCCTTCCACCGTTTCACACAACATTCCGACGAAACGTTCCTGTTTCTTTTGGGAAACGTTCCTGGAGTTTTTTTTTCGGCCAACCTCAACCATCTCTTCGCCCAGAATGGACCAACCGACCTTTTTTCTCACAGAAAGGACCGGTCCAATTCGATGGGGGGCACACTAATTTATTATTCCAGGGGGGGGTTACATATCAGAATATTACTTTTGGAATAATTTCTAGTGGAATAATTTGTTTGTATGGAGGCCTGACGTATATGTCAGTACCCCCCTCTGGAATAATAAATTAACATGTCGGTGAATGAAGTTGAAACATCTGATCCACATGGCTCAATTTGTTCTTGTCTCAAGCCAACAGGTAAGTGAAAAGAGATGAACAGATAAGCATCAATCAAACCCAATTGCTGAATAGACTGCAAAACACATAAAGGCAATACTAGGAATGACTAGGTGGGTCAGTGCCGGAGGGGGGAGGGGTGGGAGAAGGGAAAGGAGATGTTAGTGGCAGGTAGTTTTTGAATATAGTTTACTGTAGATATGTTTAAGTGGTTGGTAGGCAAGGTTGTAAATACATATGAAATCAAGTCAACGCCTGTATAAATACTATGTGTAAATTATTTTTGGTGGGATCTGAGAGGTCAAGACCCCTTGGAATAATATATTATGTGGGGGAGAGATTAGGTATGACTATGTCGAGGGGGGAGGGGTGGGAGATGGGACAGGAGATGTTGGAGGCAGGTAGTGTTTGAATATTGTTTAGATATGTTTAAGTTGTTTGTAGGCAAGGTTTTTAAATACACATGAAATCAAGTGAAAGCAGGTCAGTTTAATGAGGGGACTTCCAATAAAGCCTGTATACTTATATATAATGGGTTAAAGTGCAAAGAAATAGAATAATTATATATACTATTTGGGTGGGATCTGAGAGGTCAAGACCCCCTGGAATAAATGACTATGTGGGTGGAGACTGTGTCGAGGGGGGAGGGGTGGGAGATGGGAAAGGAGATGTTAGAGGC